AAATAATACATTCTTATTATTTCAAGTTGAGTTACAAGGTTAACCTAGACTATTACATTGCTAAAAATGGCAAGCCTAGAAACACGGGCGTTACAATCAACATCATGTTTTCCACATAAGTTAATTGTACTCTGATTTAATTGAATAAATAAAAATGTAAAATTTTATGGTAAAAGTCAAGATGTTACAGTGATAGTCCTGGTGACTATAATACCATGGACTAATAAAATGGTGGTCTTGGTGACTGTAACACCGTGATATTAAGAATCGGTATTAGTGATGGTCTTGGTGACCATACCATCACTATTATATAATAACTTATTTAAGGTGGTCTTGGTGACTATAAGACCACCGCAATGGGATTAGTTACTCTTAGTGGTCTTGGTGACTGTAACACCATTGTATTTAGATCAATTATTAGTGTTAGTAGTCGTAACTGTAACACCATGAGGTTCTGAGACTATAATATATTATAGTTATGAGGTATCCTTGGTGGCTGGAATACTACCCTTATGACATAATATATTAATTTTTAAAGATTGAAAAATGCCAACAAGTGAAATATTGATTGGATGCAAGCCCACTGTAAAACCAATTGGCAAATATAGTGATTCGAATAACATATGTATGGGCCAGATTGACACCGAACATTGGACGGTGATGTTCACTAAAGGATCTAATCCTACATTAAAGTTCTTGTTAGCTTTACTTGACAAACATCTGTTTACCACAGTTTGCATTGAACATATTTTGGACATTATCAATAGATATATGTTCAATGATGATGCTGCGAAGAAGAACTTCAATGACATGCTTCAGTGGTACATCAACTTTTGTCGCACTATTCTTGCTATCATAACGAAGCTATTTAAAACGGTAAAGAAGACAAGTCTTGCACTGCAGTAGTGATCTCTCACCTCAAAATACGCAAAGGGGGAGAATGTTGATAGAAGATTGCATCATTGGGCTTATTAGTTTAGTCATTTTTGTAAATGGTGTTGGGCCTGTCCAATCGTGTATCAATTATTAGGGTTTACTTTATATAGTGCATCCATGCACTGTAGTATACACACTAATAGAAGTTATTTTCTCTTTAATCGTATTAAACCCTTGCACAACCTCTACAGTAGCAGTTCCTCATAGAGCTCTGCTGAGGTTGTGGATTATTAATCATTCGACTTCAGTCTTGAATCGGCTTGTGTTCTAATTTAATTTACTTTCTTGGTTTGCTTGTTAAGAATCTATTCGATCTTTTAGTTCTTTAAGTTTCATCAAAAAGAGTTAGGACAACTTGCAGATATATCTTTAGACATAGTTAGACCTAATAGTGTGGTATCCAAAGATGAATTTATGGGTCCTGGTAAGACCTAACTAGTTCCAATTATGAATGAATTTATTGGGGGCCCTTATCAATATGAGACTAAAATGAAACCACTTGTTTACTTTCTAAGTCCCATAAAGACATAAGTGTTGCATATAGATGCATTTGGTGATCTTTTTCTACCGATAAAACTTATTGTTATATGTATGATGAATTAAGCATAACAAGAAGACCTTGGTGTGAATATTAACCTTCAAAAAGCTAAGTTTATCATAAAACATAAGGGTGATTATTTTGTAAGGAATTTTATATCGAAAAATACTAAAATATAACTTTTTTAGTTCTTTTTTAGATGTTAATTAACTAGATGAACACACACCAACTTATTTACATACTCTAATCACACAAACACCAAAATCCTTAACAATTATATAAAAGAGCTACTAGCATCCTCGTATGACCTGATCACAAACATTAACCTATTGAAACGAGAATGAAATCACTGAACACATTATTAACCACTTAAACTTGAAGTTTCTTTCATTAGTATCTTTTCTAGTTGAAGTTAGGAATGGAACCTAGAGACCAATCCTGGCCTTGTTCCACTGGGATGATTGCATTATTGCTATATTGATTCAGATGATTAGGAGGTCCAATTGGTGGGAAGTCTAGCCAACTCCAGTTACACCAGTTATCATTGATCATCGTGTTTACACCCTCAAAATCATTGTTTTGTGATGTAACATCCGTATCTAGAACAAACTCTGCAATATTGAAAGAAAATATGATCACAAATCATAATTTAACTAACCATTACTAATTCATCAAAATAAGATATACTATTTCAAATCAGAAACATACCATTTGGTAAAATGCCAGAGTTGAAGTCATCCATAAATGTCATATCATTACCATTTGGTAAGATAACATGAGAGCACAAAACTTCACTCTGTAGGTTGTTTATTGATTTAAAAATTGTGCCACTTGAAGGACTGGGTGGTTTGGTATATGAATCATCCCAAAATTCTTCAAGTTCTTTAGGGGGTCCATTTGGTGGAATTTCTAGCCAACTGTAGCTATCATCGTTCCTCATGTTTAAATCCTTAAAAGTATCTACTTGCGATTTTAGTCCTATATCTAAAAGGTCAGGAAGAATATTAATTGATCGGCCATTAGATATTTATTAGGAATTATATATTTCTAAAAAAACAAACTTACCATTTAATGAAAAGCCAGAGCTTGAGGCATCCATAGATGTCATGTAACTACCACCTGATACAGATACTATATTACAATTCACATTATTAATGTTAGTTAAAGAGTAAGTTGGTGTAATTGCTGGAATGGATGAATGGATTGAAGGGATATTTAGTTCAAAATTTTTAGAGAAAAAATCATCATCCATTTGAGAGATAGGATTCATGCCTAATGAAGTGATTTGTCGGGTTTTATCAAATAGAGATATATAAGATGAGCTCGAAAGTGATAGGTTTTGAGGGGGTGGCATTGTAAAGGTGAGTCCATCATTCTTATAATTATTAAGTTTGGACTTAGACATAAAATCAAGGTGATATGAAGAAGCAAGTAGAAGTGGGTAGCTCATTGGGTCCATTAGAGACATAAAGTCAAAGTGACTATAATCAGGGTTTGCCTGAATTGAGGGTGATGATGATGAAGCGGCCATGTTTGTTTTATGCAAAAAAGATGTTGAAGTGGGGATGCAATTAAAACTAGGGTGTTCTATATACGAGGAAGATAATGACGACATGCTTGGGTTGAAATCAAGCTTTTCAAGAATGATGATGATGATGATGATGAGGAGGAGGAGGATGAAGTATAAAGTTGGTTTTGGCTCTGTGGAGGTTTTTCTGGTTGCGGATGGTAAAAGTCTCGACGCTTGATCTGTTGATGAATTCCAGGAGGGTAAACAGGCATTCCATTACGAACTCGTCTTTTAAACCTGGTGTACCAGTAATTTTTTATCTCGTTGTCTGTACGTCCTGGAAGCTGTGCAATAAATAAAAACACACATTGATCATAGAAAAAACTTGATCAAAAGGCATTGAAAAGATTTAAATGCACAAATTACACAAATATTTCTTGCTCTCTATGGCCAACGCCCAAAAAAGGTTAAAATCTTGAATCTATATATTTGTATATTTATATTGATTTGAAACCTACATAACTATACATATTTCCTTGCTAGTTAGATCTATGATTATTAAGTATTGAAATTAATACGGTATAACTTGAAAGGTTTTAGAGTTTAATTTTCAATAACTTTTTTACTACTATAAAAGAACTCAATTTTTTTAAGTAACACAAACACAAATCACATAAAATAAATCAAAGAGAAAACGAATATAAAGAAGCACTAGACAGGTTCTTGAGTTGGTTCAAATTTTGTTTGACCACATTTTAAGGCAAAGTTACAATGTTAAAACTTTTTATTTATATGAATGTTATACATTAGCAGAGTAGTTTAACAGTTTAAACTATGTTTAATAGATTAAAAATTCGCCTACAAACATTATCAAGCATGAGTGTTTGAAGCTACTTTTACTTTCGTACCGGATGTATGAGTATAAATAATGGCTCCCTTATTATAATATTTAGTTATGTTTTATGTCTATTTTATAATTCAAGACAAAATGAATTTAATTGGTTGATGATTTTGATTTTATTTGACTATTTTGATATTATTAATGATAAATTATCATATTAACATCTCCATATAATACAAGTTTTGATATTTATCACTTTGTACGATTTTGTGACTGTAAAAGAAGATATTAATTATATATTGAGGTGTTTAAATTTTTAAAATAAATGTATGCATTTTTATTCACCTAAATAAAATATTTTAGTACTTATCATCAAATTCATGAAAAAATTACAAAAAAATCCTGTACACTTGATGTAACAATTTTAAAAATAAAATCATATGATTCATTGTAGATAAATATCTCTTATTGTGAATTATTATTTGATTAACTTTATATATATATATATATATATATATATATATATATATATATATATATATATATATATATATATATATATATATAAAAGGTTAAATAAAAAACATAAATCCAACTATTAAGTAAACTTAAAAGTTATCGAAAGACTAATTATGTTTTAATATTTTTAAAGTTTTATGTTGATTTGAACTTCAACTTTCCTCATTAGTTGATATATGGTTATTAAATAACCAAATTAACATGTTATAATTTATGATGAGAAATATAATAGGTTTTAAATAATTTAATAATCAATTAAGTATTTTAGTAAAAATTTTTACAATTGAAAATTTAGTAAGTTTTTATTATTATAAACATATCAGTTGTTTAAGCAAACATACACATAAAGAGATAAATGATATAAAAGTAATTGAGAAAATGGATATAAAAATTATATGGAAAAAGTAAAGGTTTTTCGACATGTTCTGAGACAAATTAGAATATTAAAACTTTTTAGTTTGGATGTTTGTTATATATTATAAGAGTAACTTAATAGTTCCTGCAATGTTTCATTTTGAGCAATAATACAATGAAAATTAATCTTGAACGACTTATTAAATAAACACATTACACTTACTAGAAAACAATAAAAATTATAATGTTAGATAGAAATTTGAAGAACTATGAGAATTTAAAGTAAATACTACATCCGTCCCAGTTTAATTGTCAAAATTTGACGTTTTAAATTTTTAATCTTACATATATATATATATATATATATATATGGAAAAGTGAATATACCCTTAAGGGTATATAAACTTAGGTACCCAAACACACCATACTATATCGTTTCGTATTATATATAGCATTGTAATTGTTCAATGTTCTTATAATTCAACTTCTAACTTGAATTACTTTAAAGATTTTTATAAATTTCATGTTTATCTTACTCTTACATAATTGTCATTTTCAACAATAATATATATAGCTTAGTAGGTGTTCGACAAAAAGATATGATGTAAGAGGAAGATAATAGTGAAAATTTAAAAATATTGAATATAAATCAAGTTAAGGATTGAAGTTTAACAATATTATACTAAATATATCAAACAAAACGACGTATTATTATGAGTTTGGGTACCTAAGCTTACATACCCTTAAAGGTATATTCACTTTTCTCATATATATATATATATATATATATATATATATATATATATATATATATATATATATATATATATAGGTAATAATTGATAAAAAACATATGAATTGATTATAATTATATGTCATTTCATTGTTATAAGTTTCATCAAGTAATATATAACATAAATAAAAATATTTAAGATCACAAACGAAGAATTTTTTTGTTCAAAAATCAACAGTGGACAATTAATTTGGGACGGAGAGAGTATCATCGAACCAAAATGAAATATAGAAGCTAACAACAATGTTTAAATTAACTTTATATATTTAAAAGAATTATTATTTTATATTTAACTGAAATACTTTAATTATTTTTCATAACCAATATTTGTTGTAATTTTTAAACTATATAATTTTATTACCACGATATACACGAGTATTCGCCTAGTTATTTACATAATTTAAAGAATCTATAAATAGATACCTGGTGTTTTTTGTACCAAATTTATAAATCGGAATTCATCACACAGACGTATACATAAAATATTATATAAATCGAAAATAAATTTGTAACAAGTATACAAATCAAATAAACAAAATTACTTAAAATAGGTCGGAATATGAGAATTTTAGTGTCTATTGTTTGGCTATATAACATAAGAATCAAACTCCCAAACTTTTAAACCATTATAAACAATTTATTCACTCATGTATTTTTATTAAAGTTAAACAAGAGATCAATAATAAGAAGTTATTTTAAAATTAATATCATTCTAAATATCTAAAAAGTGTTTCTTTCATGTCATAGTTGTGTTTTAATTTGTTTTTGGAATCACAAAACTTTATGTAAAATGAATTAATAAAGGTATGATATTATATATATATATATATATATATATATATATATATATATATATATATATATATATATATATATATATATATATATATATATATATATATACACGAAGAGCAACATATGAAAAGAATCTTTAATTAATATGATATATATTATTCCACATTTAATATTTAAAAAAGTTTTTACAATATAACTGACTTAGGAAAGTTACATTTATGATAACCAAACACAATTTAAAAAGATAGTTGGCGCTTTTATACCAAATTTATTAATTGGAATTCATCACACAAACATATACATTAAATATTATATAAATCAAAAATCAAAAATCTATATGTAACAAGTATATATATATATATATATATATATATATATATATATATATATATATATATATATATATATATATATATATATATATATATATTATTAAAATACATATGAATGTGAAAATTTTAATGTCTATTGTTTGACTATAGAAACATTTGAATCAAACTCCCAACTTTAAGTCACTATAAACAATTTAACCACTGTATTTTTATTTAAGTTAAACAAAATATTCAAGAAATTATTTTAAAATTAATATCATTCTAGATGTATAATTTTTTTTTCTTTCATGTGATATTTGTGTTTACATTTGTTTATGGTTTCATGAAACCTTATATATAAAATAAATAAATAAAGGAATATATATATATATATATATATATATATATATATATATATATATATATATAGCGAGAGAGAGAGAGTGAGAGAGAGAGAGAGATACATGAAGAGCAATAAATGACCATCTGTTGCCGTGTTCTGCATGGAGTCGTACGATCCTACTTTTTTCTTCCAGAGTAAAAGCTCCTTTCTTGATATTAGACCTCAAATGGTTAACCCATCGAAGCCTACAACTTTGCCCGCATCTCATCAATAGACCCTTTCGTTGAAGATAGTTCCAATTTCTTTCACCATTTTTAATAACATACTTTGCTAGTATTGCATCCTCTGCAGGACTCCAATGTCCTTTTTTTAGTTCATTATACTCTTCTTCATGTCTACCACCCCCTTTCATGTTTCTTACACCATCATTAATGTTATCATTTTCTTCAAACATATTTTTCTTAACCTATTATCAAATGTTCTAAATTTAGATGTATATATCGAAATGCAAATGTTCTTTGAATATTTGTTAAATTTTTTTTAAGGATCTTTATTCTTCCTATTGGATAAATAAATGAAAATGTAACACAAACAAAAAGACCTCTATGAAAGAGAGAGAGAGAGAGAGAGAGAGAGAGAGAGAGAGAGATAGATAGATAGATAGATAGATAGATAGATAGATAGATAGATAGACACACACACACACACAAAGAGAGAGAGAGAGAGAGAGAGACAGAGAGAGAGAGAGAGAGAGAGAAATGGTTAATGCAAAAGTGACATGGAAAGTGAAAGATAGAACATGAGTTATACAAAAAAGGGAAGGAGCATGGAAGATAAAAGTAATAAAATGTTGCTTAGTGAGAGCAAGTATCGGGAGAGAGATTGAGAACGAAAGATAGATAGAGAGATATATACATATGTATGTATGTGTGTGTATATATATATATATATATATATATATATATATATATATATATAGAGAAAAGAAGGAGAAAGTGAGAGAGGGAGAATTATGACTTTTTGTTGGAAGGGACCACAATGTTTAGTAAGATGATATATATATAT